TTAAAGTTGAACAACTTGATAAAACTGAACAAGAAAACAAACCAGAACAACTAATTTTACTCTCATGAACTTTTTAAATAGTCATAAACAAACAACACATCATTTCTACAAGATTTCTCAGCAAGGAATGCTGGGTAAATGCTGCTCTGTCTGACATGAGGTGGAAGAGGGCGGGGCTTTTCAGAATACTTCTTTCAACACTGCATGGTGTCATATAACAACACTGTTAAGTGTTATATGACTTAACTGTGGGCGGAGCTTATTTTACACTGTCCAGTGTTGAGACAACACTGAGGAAATCAACACTGAATTAACACCAACACTGGGTGTCAGTGTACTCAGAAAGTGTTAAAATATTACTAGGGAGTGTTATTTCAACACCCAAAAGTTTAACACTGAAATTTCAACACTCCTGTTTTTGCTGTGCAGACAACTCCAAGGAAGGATTGTTGTGTTGTACACTAAGCTTTAGAGAACACTGGTGTCTGCGTCTGTCATCCACACACAAGTATTAGATTCTTTGTAACAAACGACGTCATCCTGCTCCATTAATCAGCAACTGGCACCAACCAGGGTACAAGCTGCCATCAACACCAGGGGGTGAATCCTTCCTAGAAATGAAAGTTCACTTCTCACAAACAGTGCGTCCATACTACCAACTCTGCTGTCTATATAACTGGATAATGAAATCCCTGCAACACAGTCACATGACCTTCAACATGTCCAGAATAATTTTATTGGAACCACTTTGCCTCCTTCACTGACATCACCAGGAAAAGATCCATTTATTTTGCATGTCAAAGGGTGTGTCCAAAATGGCAGGCCGGGTCCTCCGAAGGCCGAATTCGTCAGCCGCATACGTCACAGCGCCGCGACGAAGGCCGTCCACAACCAAAGACTCCTCCGATGCGGCCGACAAATACGTCCTTCCTTTTCCTCGATTTGAAGGACAGGTCTGATGAATCCTTCCCGACCCAGCATATCCCATAATGCATTGCGGTCCGACCGGAGATTTTTTTTCTTGTAATGGCGGGCGATGGAGGAGTACAGTTTTAAATGTAAGTATATTAAAATCTGCCGGTAAAAAAATAGAAAATTAAAAGCGGCTATATTGTTAGGCTTTAGTCCTTTGCATATATACTATATGTTTTAAAATAATTTTTATCTCAGAAATATCGTGAATGAGCTCATATGGCGGGTCCTTTAGTTTTTCGTGTATTCCCGCTAACTAAGTTAGTTTTTAATTTGAGACTTTTTTATTTGCTATTTTTTAGGGTCCAAGGAGCAGACAGAAGTTTTTATAAAGCTGAGGGGAAAAAAATGAACACCTCTTCACGGGGTGTAAGAATTCAGCCGCTGTGGGATGGAGGTACAAGAGATCTTAAATGGAGTATACTTTCAATGGGGTTCCACTGGCTTTCCTTTTGTGTTCTGCTATGAAAACTATTTTTACAAGAAGGGATTTGTGTATGTTATAAGGACACTTCTGGAGAAGATGGGCCTGCAGGGTAAAGTCACACCCCTGCAGGCCAAAAAGAAGTGGGACAACTTGAAAAGAAAATATAAAGTATGTATATGAGAAGTGAAGAATTACTTTTTTAACTGCACATGTTAATAAATGTTCATTTTTAAAAGATGTGTGTTTCTTTTATTGTCAACTGTGATTTCTGATTTCCTCTGTGTTTAGGATTGCAAGTATCCAGGTTCAGGAGAGGAGTCAGTGGGAAGCCCACTGCTGCTACTTGGCCCTGGTTTGACCTKATGGATGAGGTGTTAGGACAGAGGCTTTCCATTACGCCTCCTGTCCTAATGTCCTCCATCCCTGAGGACACTCCAGGGCCAAGTGCAGCAGTGGGTGACCAAGAGGAGATGGACGAGGAAGAAAGTCAGGGAGGAAGTCAGCCACCAACAGGGAGAAAGAGGCGAAGGGACAGGGACGATGAGCTGATGGACCTGATCAGAGAGGACACGAGGCAGCAGAGAGAGGACACGAGGCAGCAGAGAGAGGACACGAGGCAGCAGAGAGAG